GTCGACTGCAACTATTAACAATTTCTTTCCTAAAACAAATTTGTTTTTGAAATGATGACAGCAACATAGTCACAAAAGAAAAAAAACATCGTTAATATATGATAATGATAACATTACCCGTTTCCCTATAAGGAAACATTTTGGTATTTATTGACCGAGCAGCCATTAATGCTTTCGGTTGAAATTTATAAAATCATTCTTTTAAAACATTTCATTTTAGGAAAGCAAGTTTCTCAAGTTCGATAGCTGTTGTCGCTCTTTTCAGTATTGACAGAGGTTTCCTTCCTAACATTTTATTTGAAGTGGTGTGAAATGATAAACGTTGGGTTATTAATTTATTTTGGAGTTACATGTGCTATCCATTTTAGTTGTTGCTGCTGTTGGTAGTCCTTAAGGGAGGTGGTTTCTGTTAATAGGTACAGCTCATTGTTTTTGGCTCTATAGCGTCGGTCCACAATATTTAAAGAAAGATGATTTTTGCCAAGATCCTCAGGATTTACTTGCTTAAAGCCCAATTTCAATATTGATCTTAGGAAGCAGTTGTATACAGTTGACAGTTTAGTTATTTTTGAACGAGTTTGGTGCCATACATGACATCCACATGAAAGTCTCATTCAAAGAGGGATGATCTTTGCCAAGGCCCTCAGGTTTCATTCACTCAAAGCCTTTTTTCAACATTGATCTTAGAAAGCGGTTGTCTACAGCTGAGAGTTTAGATATTTCTGAACAGGTTTGGCACCATTCATGGCATCCATATAAACGTCTCTATCTGACGAGGCTATTGAAGAACATGACTCGAGGTTTCAGGTTGACGCTTTGGTTTTTTAGCAGCTTGCGTTGTTGGGCGAAACTTACCTCTGGCGCAGCATATTCTATGTGCAATTTCCTTTTCTTCTATACTTAATTTGTTATAAGTGATCTATACATGACTGTAAATAAATTGCTTAGTATTTACTAATCTCAGATCCTGATTTATTATGAAGATTTAAGAGTAGGTGCCATCACTGCTTTCATTCCAATTTCAGATCCTGGTTTCTTTTTTAGAAAGGTTTATCTTGTTCCCCATTTCTTGGAATACTTGATAGACGATGCTGCGTTTCTGTTCAAGATCATTCTCATGCCAACTATGAACACCTATGTCATCAGCATACCCCCCTCATCAGTCCATTGGCCTCGGGAGGGGAAGCAGGATTTTTTTTGTCTTCTATTGTTAGACTCCTTTGGTATACGGTATGGCATTTTTAAATGGTCAGCGCCCATCACTTCACATCTATGTTTGTAAATGCACAGGGCCTTGTCAAGGACGAAATTAAATAGACTGGGGCTCTCATATACTCCTTCTCGTGCTCTTGGTGGTAATTGGATACCGGGTTGAGGAAGACCTTTGACCTCACTTCCGCTGCATCAGAGTTTGAGTGTAAATCGGAATGTGTGACAGCATAAACAGGGAAATGGCTAAAATAAACGGGACACTCAGGTGTTCTGAGCTTTGAATAAACAGGTCGCAAAGGTGTCCAGAGCGGAAAGAAATGCGTTTTTGCGTGAGCGCATGCCGGAAGAGGCGTGGCCACACGAAGTTGCGTAGGCACATAGCCAGAAGAGTTATGTTGCGTAGGGGACTTACCAGAAGAAGACGAAGCCACATGAATTTGTGTGTGTCCAAATGTTATAAAAAAATGGTCCAACTCTTGGCCTGGGAGAGAGAGGCTGGCTAGAGTTTCACCGACGATTTTGCTTCCGTCAATTAATTGACGGAAGCAAAATCGTCGGTGAAACCTAGCCAGCCCTCTCTCTCCCAGGCCAAGAGTTGGACCGTTTTTTATAACACAATCCCAACTTCTGTGATTCTTCCTTACTCTATCCAATTACCGTAGCTCAAACAATAAATATGTTTTATATATATGTTCTCGTCGCCTTATTTGAGTCCAGCAGCGATATACAAGATGAGGTCTGAAATGTTTCCATATTCGGGTCATCAGATACGTAACATCCTATAGATCGATACCGTTCCTCTATTCAATGAATTCAGAGGTTGGAAGGCGGTTTCTAATGTATAAAAAGGGGAGGTTTCTATGGGTGTTGTCTTATGCTGCTGTGAGGTCGACAAAGCAGGTATCCAGTTTCCTATTAGGGAGGTAAGCATTTTCTTAGAGTTGTTTGATGACATATATACATCTATTACCATAATTTCGGCCTTTTACCGCATCTAAGTTGCGGATAGAAAGTCACCATATATAACATCATTTCATCCCTTACTAGAACGAAAGCCAAACTGGGTCATAAAGAGTTGACTTTAAAAAAAATGATGAGAACATAGTTAATACACCGTCCTGTGTATGGCGATAAACTACATCCGCGTCCAGGGTAAGAGGATAAACTACATCCAGCAGCAAGGCCTCTGATCAGGAGGCTTTGAGGAGAGTGGAACACCTCTTAATTGCTGGTGTTGTCAGGTCCACTCTGACTCGGGGTGGTAGCACCTGTTTGGGTCCCAGTGATGGGCAAGTAGTTAACCTGGAAACTGAGGTAAACTGAGGTAAAATGCCTTATGAAAGTGTAAAAATAGGTTTTAATACCAGAAATACTTTGTAAAAAAATTGTTACAAGAAATAAATTTTTAAAGAAAAGACGTTTTTGAAAATAATATTACCAGCTATACAATTTTGAGGAAAAAATATTACCAGAAAGAGATTTTTGACAAAACAAAAATATTGCCAGGAAAAAAAAAAGGTGTCGGAATTAAATGACCCATTGAGGTTGATATACCGTAAAACAAAACAAAATAAACCAAACTTAGTTAATACAATATTCACCAATACATTCAGCATGATGGATCCAATTAAGATACCTCTGTATGTGTGAGGGTTTTGAGCGAGATCATTATCTTTCCATAATACATTAATGTTTGATAAACCCCACTTTGAAGAAACATTTCTGATTCCAGACTTCTGCGATAAAATAGAGGAACTAATATATTTTCAGAACTAAACTATTTTCAAAGGTTCTCTATTAATGTCGAGTGATGTTTTATTATTCCTTAAATTTTAATAGCTTTCTTAATGCCCTCATCACTAGCTTCATTATTGTTTATGTTTGGAGACGGACTTTGTAAGGGATATTAGTATGTCTATTTATGCGGGCATCTAAAGTTTAATCTGTTCGGGGTTGAAATGAGATTCAAAATGTTTTTTTGAAATCAGGAACTTTTTCCGTTGGGGTTTTGAGTGTATGATATTATTGTAGTTTTTAAATGAAGGACTTTTTTTTAAATGAATGTGTGTTCACTGAATACATATCAATATGTGGAAAGCATATTGACAACTTGCAGGTTTTGAGTTCGGTATCAAGATAATATTTCAAGTGTTTAAGATATTCAAAGTGCCTTGTTCTTTGGTAGACTCTGGCGTCTACACATTTTCTCTCATGAACATTAATAATAAAAACAGGTCTCTAAAATCAAGATTAAGATCCTAGACCGAAAGTACAGGTCACACAGTGAGGATCAAACTCATTACTCAATCATGATTGATCTCGCGGGATAAGCTTGTTAACTATTGCATGTTGAAGTGCCCCAATGATTTTCGAGATGTGGGACAAGAAATATGGGAAACCTAGTGAGGGATCGAACTCATTACTCATCAATACTGATCTAGCGGAACAAGCTTGCTAAACATTGCAACATGCCGAAGTACCCAATGTTGATTTTCTTAGTGTAGCTTAGATGTGACACAAGGCCGAAAGTGTGGGTGGACACAGTGTGTATTGAACTCACTACTCAGTCGTAGCGTGTTCTAGCGAGAATAAGCTTGCTAACCATTACACGACGTCGATGTGCCCAAAAGATAGATTGTTATGTGGCAAAAAGTTCTTAATTTAAGAGTCTCTCTGAAAAATAGCCACTTTCTGAAGACGAATTTACATTATTCAGACTACTGTCCTCATCTTTGTCGCCATATTTATTACATATTTATTATATTTACGTACGCTCCGGCCTTCTTCAGGTGGTTGGAATGTCGAACTGAACACTTTATTTCGCTCACTGGGGTAAACATCCATGTTTAATGGATGTCGTTTACCAGTTATCTCCCTTTGAAAGTTCTCCACTGCCTTAACCGGATATCGAACTCACACTCATTGGTTTGGGTCCTGCCACGGAGTCTAACCAACACCTTTATCCACTGTGCCATGCGTCCTTTTCTGCGTTTGAATTTCTGGGTATTATAAACCTAATGACTCAGAACCATTTTTACCAGTGCTCATATTGCAATTTTTTGCTGTTATCATTGCATTTTTTTTTATAGACAGATACTGAGGACTAATTTGTTTATTCAATATAATTGAATGTACATTAATAGACAAGGATCGAGTAAAACGTTCAGTTCTAAATAGTTTCGATATATAATAAATTATTAGTAAAACTTTGCTGATTATTTTACAAGGATGCGAGTTGCCTTCAGCAAATATTGTTCCAATGGAGTCACTTTTCTTATTAATTTTCTGTGTCTACATTGTGACTTATTTGGTTAATTTGAACAAAAAAGGCTCCAATTACTGGAGGGTTGGTGAGGATCGAACTCACTACTCGGTATTATTAGCAAAACAGACTAGATCTTTAACCATTACCACACGTAAAGAATCGATTTTTCACATTCATTAAGCATAGCTTTCTTTTTTTTCTTTTCCTTTCCTTCCTTTTCGCTCTTATCATTTTAGTTTGTTGTTTATTGTTTCAGTCTTTATTTCGTTTTTTCTTTCTTTCTTCTGTTCATTCACATCTCCTTTTCTTTCATATTTTTTCTTTCTTTCTTTCGTTTTTTTCATATTTTCCCTTTTCTTTTCATATTCTTTCTTTTTTTTCTTCGTTTCTTTCTTTCTAATTTTCACACTTCTTATGACATTTACATCGCTATTTCGTTGTTTCTCACTTTAATCTTTCTTTCTTTCTTTCTTTCTTTCAAAGTTTTCCGTTTCCTTTCAGAAAGAGATAAAGAGAAAGCAAATCAAAGAGGAAGAGAGAGGAAAGAATGAGTGTAGAAGCGAGGGTGACGACGACGACGACGACGACGACGAAGAAGAAGAAGAAGAAGAAGAAGAAGGAGAAGAAGAGGAAGAAAAAGAAGAAGAAGAAGAAGAAGAAGAAATAGTTTGTGTATAACGAGATAAAGAGAAAGCAAATCAAAGAGGAAGAGAGAGGGAAAGAATGAGTGTAGAAGCGAGGGTGACGACGACGACGACGACGACGAAGAAGAAGAAGAAAGAGAACAAGAAGAAGAAGAAGAAATAGCAGAAAAAAAGTTTGTGAATAAAGAGATAAAAAGAAAGCAAAGAAAAAAAAAGATGAAGTTTGTGAATATAGAGGTAAAGAAAAAGAAAAGACGGAGAAATGTAGGAGAAAAAGAGGAACAAGAAGAAGAAGCAGCCGCAGCAGAAGAAGAAAAAGAAAAAGAAGAAGAAGAAGAAGAAGAAGAAGAAGAAGAAATAGTTTGCGAATATAGAGGTAAAGAGAAAGCAAAGAAGAAGAAGAAGTAGAAGAATAAGACGATGAAGAAGAAAAAAAGAAGAAACAAGGAAACTGAGGTAGAGAAGAGAGAGAATTATATAATTTGGACGAGGAATCAAAAAATTAGAAGAAGAAGAAGAAAAGAAGCAGAAGCTTCCGTCTTCATACCGCGTAGAATATGACGCCTACTCTTCTTCTATCATAAACTATTGTAATAAAGTCAGCTCTCAGATTTCAAGGCAGGCAGATATTTGGGAAAGATTTAGCTGACAAGTCTCTTGCAGATGATATTAATTCCTCAAAAGTTTTAGCGAATCCATTAACCGAAAAGCGGGTAATGGACAGAACACTTTCATTTATTTGATTCCGTAAAGACATCTTTGAATTATTTGACAAACTTTGCTGATCCCTGTCCAAGACAAAATACTATCTTTGTAGTACGCGTCTCACACAAGACGATGTCAAATCGACTTTGCAATCGGTGTTAAACAAATCCGTTAGAGAAGCTGGATGCATCAGAGGGCTGACGTGAAAGATAACCTCTTAGCTGCTAGCTGCAGGTCCACGACTCATTAGATATCAGTGGCTACTCACGACATGTGAAGAGTTGATCGTCCCAGCTGCACTTGAATATACACACGTGGGACAAACCATATGACAAGTAGATAATTTCTACCGTTTATCAGTTCGTAACATTTATCAGGAGTGTTTTACGAACAGTAGGATTTTGTTAGTAACAAAGAAAAGTGTACTGAACAGCTACGTGATGGACGGTCTCTTCAAAGATGAAGAAGAGACTTGAGGCAACAAAGGTATGATTTTACAGAAGGATGCTAAGGATACCATAGACTGAGCGTGTGACCAATAATGAGGTTTTGGAGAGGATGCAAAGAAGGAGGAAGCTTATCATAACACCAGGAAGAGGCAGCTGAAATTTCTGGGACACGTGATGAGAAAGGAAGGCTAAGAAAATTTGATACTCAAAGGGTAAATAGAGGGAAAGAAGGTCAAGGCAGAGCAACGTGTGATATACATACCGGACTTAAGCAAGTGGGTGGCAGAATAAGGATTGTAGGAAGTAGTCAAAAACAAAACTTATTGAGAACTGTAGGGAATAGGAGGTAGTGGAGAGCGCGTATCGCCTACGTCATTAAGGGAGACGGCGCTTAAAAGAAGAAGAGCCTAGTTGATTAAAGGACTCATATGTTTTCATGAAAATTGTTATTAATATTCCTTAAAATGCATTGTGTTTATAATTTTGTTTGTTCCTTTGTTTAGCAGCATATGAACCCAATGCAAGTTGTAAAAAATAGATGCGCCAACTACTGCACATGTAACGGTTTTCTTTTTCAGAAATGTTTCCTTTCGAATAAACGGCCCTTAAGGTCCAATTTCTAAGCAACCAAATAAAATAAGTGTCTCCCTCGAATAAGATCTCCCCCTCCCCCCAAAAAAAACATCTATTTCTAGATAAATACTTAGGTTGCTATTCGAAAGAAATAGTAAGTATCAAAATATTCTCATGAGGCAGAACTACACGCTAAAATATTTTATTGATATGGTTTTGGTTCTTGTCAAGGTTTACAATGACACCAACAGCCTTATTGCAGTAGCTGTAATAAGGCTGTTAGTGTCATCGTAAACCTTTTCCACGCGGCATCAGTCAACCATAGTGGCAATTCCAGTAAGGAAATAGTGCAGGGATAATGAGGTTCCAAGGGTGATAAAATGAATTTAAATTTACATAGATTTTTATACATTTGAGTATAATATTAAGTTGATGTAAGGTGATATAGAGAGCGGTGAGAGACAATGTGAAATTAGAGAGGGAAGGGAGAGATAGGAATGATTTTAAATTTATTTTTATTACAATAATTAATAGTGATATATATACACACACACACACACACACACACACACACACACATTATATATATATATATATATATATATATATATAAGTTACGAAGAACTTGGTAAACTGAATGGGTAATTCAAGGAGGATGAAACCTGAGAGAGCTCAATGTGAATACAGAGCTAATATTTAATGAAAAACAGACCACTTTAAGGTACCATTACAATAATTTATTTCACCAAAATCCTTTTTAAAGGACTCCGGATCATCAGGTAACAATTACAACAACGAAATGAAAGGAAAAATGGGATTAGAAATTGATGGGTAGTGTAATTTTTGTAATTTAACAGGGAGGGTGAGAGTTGTAGTTAAAGAGACAAGGTAGAATATAGGGAGGGGTTAATTTCATATCTATCTTAAGCATGCTTTATATTGGGGTAGGAGGAGTGACCGAACCTTGACCTATTTAGATGGTTAACTTAACGGAAATGATATATAGGAATGGGAGGGGAGTGGAGAGAAAAGAAAAGGAAAAATGGAAAGGAGATAGGAGACAGTCGACAGTAATACAGATATATCTAAATGAGTGTTACGGCAAAGAGAGAGGTGGAGAGGGAAGTGAATCGAAAGAGGCTGTAATTTTGTTTTAACAAAATTATGTAAAAGATAGATTTCAATGCTTGATAGAAATTTAGATGTCTAAAAATGATGAATGTTATCAATTTAAACATTTAATTTTTTAAGTAAATAGTTTAGGTACTTAATATAAGTTAATTACTATTTTTATTAGCACATTTATCGAGAACATATTAAAGAAATATTTAAAATTATAATAGTTTATTTACCCGACCAATTGTACTTCCATAATATTGTAAAAAAAATTCGGCAACAATAACATCTATATTAGTTTTACTTTTAATCTAATTTATGAATGCATTTTTTCTTTATTATTATATGGGTAAACCTAATTAAGGTTTAGGTTTCATTATATATATATATATATATATATACACACACACACACACACACACACACACACACACATATATATATATATATAGAGAGAGAGAGACAGAGAGAGACAGAGAGAGACAGAGAGAGAGAGAGAGAGAGAGAAAGAGTGAAGATATTGAATTGCCCAGATCAAGTGCTAATATCTAACCAAATAACCAAAGATCAGTATTTGGGGTGGGGAACTGTTCTTAGACAGTTCTTTCCAATAAGCACACACACAAATACACACGCATTCATCACAAATACATCCACCCACCCCTACATATATATATATATATATATATATATATATATATATATATATATATATATATATGTGTGTGTGTGTGTGTGTGTGTGTGTGTGTGGATTGCATATTGGTAGTGACGGTATGTGAATAAATTTCAATGAATATCTAAATTTGTCTTCTTCCTAAATAAATAAATAATCCGCAATTCTGCTCGTTTTCCATAACGTTGGAAGTTTTATTCAATAAACAGAATGAATTCAATAAATATTCAATGCACATTACTGATAAGCCGTCTTCATGCAAGGCGAGCTCGATATCAAATAAATTGACAAGTGGAACAGTAATGGCGGACAAAAACCATGAATAATAACTTCAATTTGCAACTAAAAGTTTCCCGCTAAGAAGCGATCGTCAGGCAATTAAATTAGGAAGCCAGGGTCATCGAATCATATTGCAATTCCGCTTTGCTCCCCAGTTAGTTAATAAGCCAGTTAGCACGTACGTTACACCTTGTAATTGACCTTGATAAATAATGGACCAATGAAATTGCTTGCAAGGAAGAGCAGAAGGTAAAAAAGGATCTGAGGTGTTTGGTTTTAATGCGATACAGATACCACCTTCAAAACTAAACTTCTCTCCAATAATCATCTGAGAGACCCCGTTCTGTCTTCCATCAGTATGGCTGATGCTATCCACCAGGAAAGTGACTCGTTGTGACTTCTTGGGCTGACTTTCTCAACTGATATGAAGTTCGAAGTCTATATTGAATCCATTGCTAAATTAGGTGCTAAGAAAGTTGATTCATTGTGTCGAGCAAGACAATTTTTCTCTCGAGGAGCTATTTTCGAGAGCAGCTGTCAGTTTTATTTCATCAGAATTATTATTAAGACAGGAATAAATAGTTGTGACATCAGGGTAATTATAAAGTTTTAATAATTTCAAGGCGAGACTGCTACTATTCGGAAGAGGCATCGCACGTAGAACTAGAACAATCTACCCCGGTGGACGAAATAAAGGGTTGAATTCAAAATTCCAGCCAATTGAAGAAGGCCGGAGAGTACAACCGCCAAAATGTTGTGAATATGGCAATGAAGATGAGGATAACAGTCTGAATAATGTAAATAGTGCAAGTAATCATAATACCTCATCTCAGAGATATAGACAGATATATAGAGAGACATTGGCGTAAAAGCCGGAGTGTACAACGGCCGAAACGTTGTGAATATGGCAATGAAAATAAGGATAACAGTCCGAATAATGTAAATAATGCAAGTAATCATAATACCTCATCTCAGAGATATAGACAGATATATAGAGAGACATGGACCTAAAGGTCGGAGCGTACAACGGCCGAAACATTGTGAATATAGCAATGAAGATGAGGATAACAGTGTGAATAATGTAAATAATGCAAGTAATCATAATACCTCATGTCAGAGATATAGACAGACTTTTTTCTTTTTCATATTTTTTGTTAATTTCGTCGAATCAAACTTTAGCCGTGTGACCATTAAGATGCTGGTCACCTCATCGGGTTACTTTTCTCTCCCCCTGACCACTCTTACCTCCAATAATATAATACCCCAGATTACTTCCTGTAACTATACCTTCTTCTGTCATTTCTTACCCTCTGTCCTCTTTCAAGTTCTCTGCCTCTTTCCTTCCCCATCACACCAATATCCTCCGACAAACTGAAATTGTTTGAAAAATCCTGTGAATTTTAAATTTACATTCTTTATTGTGTTAATAGAACTTGCTTGGATTATACAATCTAAATTACTAACTACCTACCTACATATATATATATATATATATATATATATATATATATATATATATATATAATAAAAAAGGCTTAAACACTAATATTCCATGGTCATAATTTATTCCATTATTTGAGTTCTACCTGGATTCTATCCTCTCGGAATTTTTTATTCAAAGAATATACATGTATGTGTCTGCATCTATGTATATATATTTATATATTTTGCATATCTATGTTTATATTTACCACTAATATTATCTATCTATCTATCTATCTATCTATCTATCTATCTATCTATCTATCTATCTATCTATTCATCCTATATATATATATATATATATATATATAAATATATATATACCATTCAGTATATGTATATTTATATATATATATATATATATATATATATATATATACTGTATGGGATATCCATATATATATATATATATATATATATATATATATATATATATATATATATATATACTAGCTTCCTGACGATCCGCTTATGTGAAACCTGGGTAGGTTTGTCTGACTCCCCTAGGTGTATCTAGGTCTGCTCTACGGTTGTATTGAGCTCTTTTTAGTTAGTTGTTTACTCGAGTCGGGTTTTTTTCTTTGGGCTTTAAACCTGTATCTGTGCGATTTCTTTCGACAGACTTTTATGTTTCTAGCTCTTTCTTTTTTTAAAAACATTTTTTTTCTTCGAGATTTATTTGATTATTGGCAAATCAAAAATTCGAAGGTTTTTCTAAACGAGCATAGTTACCTATATATATATATGAAGATAAAACGGAAATAATGCCTTTAATTTAATTATTACCTTCAACTCCACCCCCTGTAAAGAACCTCCTACCAATAGAACCTCGTTCTGCTATCAACGAGCTGACTGGGACTCGTTCCGTGATTTCCTCCGCGATGTTCCCTGGGATGTTGTCTTTACGCTCCCTGTTCAAGAATGTGCTTCTGAGGTCTCCTCCTGGGTTAAAGCTAGCATCGACGCTTTCAAATTTAAGGTCAAATGGCGCTCTTCCACCTGGTTTGTTGCTGCTTCCTAAGCCGCCATTGCCCATAGGAACCACTTCTTCCACTTCTATCGTAGTGACATGTTCTGTCTCTGCCAGTAACGAGTGTCTGCGTGTCCTCAACGAAGCTAAGTCACTATTTGCTGCACGAATAAAGGGACGTATCGCTTCTCACAAATTCGGCTCCAAGGATTATTGGCGTCTCTGCAAGAGCGTACTAAACAGTATCAAATCCTCTATACCTCCTTTGTTCAACCAGTTTGAGGTCTTGACCTCCTCTGCCGACAAGGCTGAATGATTTGCTCGGAAATTTGCTTTCAATTCAACGTTCGACTCTTCCGATATACCCATACCCGTTTTCTCTCTTAGATCTGAGGCCCTATTGAGCGACTTGCACCTAACCCCGTCATTGGTATTGGGCATTATCTCTAATTTAGACCCCCACAAGGCTAGTGGTGGAGATGGGATACCAGCCATTATCTTGAAGAAATGTGCGCCTGAACTGGCGCCTGCCCTCTCCAAATTATACAACTACTGCCTCAGGAAATCTTGTTTTCCAGACTGCTAGAAGTCCTCATCGATTGTTCATGCCTTTAAGAACTCCGGCGACCCCGCTGACGCTTCTAATTACTGTCCTATCAGTTTTCTTCCCCTCTTCGGCAAAGTCTTCGAAGTTTTAATCAACGCCGAAGTTGTTAACCACCTTACATCCCATAATCTGCTCTCAGGCAGGCAATATGGCTTCCGCTTTGCCCGATCTACAGGTGATGTG